ATGGGTTGCGCACAGAAGCCGTGTCTAGCTGCATAAGAGTGCTCTGCCCCCAAATTGATCCCCTCATGTCCTCTATTTAGGCGTGGACCTGCTGAGTTTCATGCCCAAGATCATGTTGTCCAGGAAATCTAGGCATGCCTAGGAGTTCAGAACTAAATTCGGTTGTCAGCAATCTTGTCGAACTCGTCCTGCGATTCGTCTCGGCAGTATGTTGCAACCCTCAACGATGGTTCATGATCAAGCTGGTACTTCGATTTAATTCGGACTTGTTTAGGTATCTAGTGTGTAGATCTCCAGAACAACAGGCACACGCAGACACACTCACAGAGACAAACACGCGCATACATACATACATACATACATACATACATACATACATACATACATACCAACATACAGTTACATGCATGTATATATATATATATATGTATATATTTGCAAACCAATGTATGTATTTATGTTCGCATTTGCAATTGTATTTGTATATGTATATGTATATATATATGTTCATCTATACATGTTAAAGTATACGTCCAGGTATATGTGCATGTGTGTGTATAGGTATGTGTATGCGTATGTGTACCGTATGTATATATATATATATGTAAATAAATAAATAAACAAATATATATATATATATACATACACGTGTGTGTGTGTGTATGTGCGGTATATATGTATACATGCACACATGTATGCGTGTTTGTATACATATATATATATATGTATAGACACACGCAGCCGTGTTTCTGGCACATGTGCATACATGTATGTGTGTGTGTGTGTGAATGTCTGTCTGTCTGTATGTATGTATGTTTGTATGTATGTTTGTATCTGTATATGTGCATGTGTGTATATGTATATGTATATGTATCTGTGTATATCCTTTTTTCCCTCTATACATGCACACAGGAATACACGCATACGCACACACACGTATCACCCACACATCCTTCCATACGTACGTTTGTGTATATATATATATAATGCATACATTCTATGGATATTCGGGAAGCAGATACACATGTATGTATGTGTGTATATATGTACATATTGGTAAATAATGCGCAGATGCGCATATATTTATGTTAGTGTTTGTATGCATGTTCGTATTTACGTCTGTATTTACATGTACATCCGCGTTTATGTTTACATCCAGATTGGTATGTGTCTAGATATTATTTTCGCATACATGCGGCGCGACGGACGCATGCAAGTGGGAATATGCATGCCAATGCCGACACACACACACACCCACAAACAACCAATATCTACATATGCACAGGTATGTATGTATGTATGTATGTATGTATGTATGTATGTATGTATGTATGTATACACACCTATATGAAGGGGTACAAACACACGTAGGACAGGTTGCATATACATACATAAATACATACATACATACCTACACGCCTCTATATACACCATTATAGTCATGTACATAATACACATCCGTGCACGCATACGTACACACATACATACATACCTACATCGTACATACATAGACATCGACATACATACACGGATACTCAGATCCATCTATCCATCATTCCATCCATGCATGCGTACATATCCACATACGTACATACACAGAGACATACAAGTGCATGTCTATAATTGCATATGTATATATATATATATATCTACACACATATACATACATGTAGGTATACACCCAGATACATGCACACACGTACACAGCCCATACATGTTCATTCAATATTCGGGTAGAGTTTGAGCTTTGCTTGAGTTCAGTTTTCATGTCTTAAGCTCTTGGGTTCCCCCTTGAACGCTCCTGGCATTGTTCTTCAGACTGCCATGACGCGGCACAGGGATTTCAGGGCTGAATTCCTTGACGGCAAAGCCAGGATGCGTGAGCTCTGGGTGTAGGATCTAGGATGTAGGCATGTGTAGCCTTTAGGCCGGACCACTCCCACAGACAAAGGGGAGCTGTTCGTTATGTGTGCAAGCACAAGTACCATTTGGAAGGAAAGTACCGTTGAAAGGTACTGACTCCCTGACCCCAGGCCGTAGCACACTCACAGTGATACTTTGCTTGCACAGAGGTAGATCAATGCTTGTCGAAGATGGTCCCCGAAGACAGGGCGAAGCCCATCTTCATCTTTTCGGAGGGGGGATTGGGGAACGAGAGAAATGTCTTGTTCAAGATCCAGTCGTTCTGTTGGCATCAGAGCACAGCTTACACCTAGCCGGTTCAAGCAATCCCCACCTTTGTGGTCCGCGTCCACGTTGTGCTGAGGATCGGACCCATTTCCGCTGCTGGTTAGATGCCAAAAGGGGGTTTAGTTTCCTTCACCGAAGTGCAGCTTGTTTCCGTGTGCAGCCACCGGGGAGCCCCCTGGCTACTGAGCAACCGGGTTTGCTTGGCTCAAGCCGATCGATTGGGCAGGAGCCGGCACCGGACTTCCCCGTCCCCGCTGTATGCCTCGGGAGATGTCCAGGACTGACAGACTCGGACGATCTCGTCTCGCCCAGCGGACCCCTCGCCTGGCAGGAACATGGCCAGCTTTGAAGAAGTCCAGGACCAGAGCTCCGAAGAGGAGGCGAAGAACTCCTCGTCCCGTCGTTCGCGAGCATCATGGCCGCAGTGGCTGCTCTTGGTGCCGAGTCCGGGTTTCGGGTCAGGGTCGGTAGCCCAGCCCTGCATGTTCCTCTGACACTGCCGCAAGGTCGTGAAGATAGCTTTGCTCCTTACGGTCGGTGTTGCTGCTTCGGCGTTCCTGCTTCGCAGCACAAAGTCCTGCAAGCCGCAGCGATTCGGAAACCTTTTCGCTCTGCAGGCTGCCTTGGCTTACAGCATGCAGTCCTAAGGCTCTAACTTGAGGCAGCCGGCAGGTCAAAGCAATGAGTGACAAGCATCGCCTGCCGTAATGGTCCCCGGAAGAAGCAGCCTCTCGCGGCTCTAGTGCATCTTTGGCAGGGAAAGTCTGCTGTTGACGTGGAAGCGAACATCGCGATGAAGGCATCCACCTTGAAGAGAATCAAAAACAGGACTGAGAGCTTTTCTCGGAGATGCCCAGCTAGCATCGACTGGCACTCCATGTAGTCGACCTCACAAGTCTTCAGGAGCCTTGCAGACGCCGTGGTGCTCAAGGCCATGAAGTCGGCGGGCCAGGATGGGGAGCTTTCATGAGCTTTCTGCTGTGTGAAATTGTACTGACGTCGCAGATCCATTCTCAGGAGAAAGCCAAGCGGTACAGCGAGCGTGAGGCAGGATTGTCTGAGGCCAAGCGGATCAGCGTGTCGCCGAGTCTGCGATTCAGGTCAGGGAGTTGCCTGCCAATCCGGCTGCGGACTGCTCAGATGTTCTTCCTGCATGGCCTCTGCTCGTCTGTGATCTGGTCACAGCCGCTGAGGATGCTGCGCGGGATATGCTGTCATACGCAGCTGAGACCAAACTATGAATTTTAGGCGAGACTCCGGGCCGTACCGTGGTGTGCTGTGCTGTCGCCGGTAAGGATGAGGTGAAGGCCTACAAGGCCGGCAAGAAGCAAGATCGTCTCACGAATGCCCGGACAGCCTTCTGCGCTTTCAATGTCCTGGAAGCCTTTGTGCTACTCTCAGAACGGCCTTGGCATGCTGGGTCTCATGCCCAAAGGGGCTCTGAGTGAAAGCTTCTTGGTGGTAAGGTGTCAATTGTGGGACTGGGCGACGACATCAATGGGATTATAAGAGTGTGCCCTCCGCCACGTGATGGTGAATCGGAGGTGTGCGAAGCAAGTTTGGGCTGTGCTGACTTCGTCTTGAATTCGTTTTAACTTTTCGTTGCCCTCAGTTGGCGTGCCAAGTGGACGGTGCTATCCTGGTGGCATGGGTTGGCAATTTGGCCGCCAAGCTGTCCTTCGCGGCCTCGAACTGCGCGGACTCCATCTCGGTAAACGCGCTGTGTGGCGTAGGCTTGGAGGGGCCCTTCGTTGTAGATAGCCGCAAGGACTCGGACATGTTACCGACCAGCAAATCAATCTCAGCTTTTTGATGTGCATGCCTTGTGGAGGTGTCACTGGCCTCGTCACTCGGATTTTGTGGATACCAGTTTCGGGTAGCAGATGGGGAGGGAGAAGAGACAGAGAGAGAGAGAGAGAGAGCTTGTGGTGTCTCGCCAAAAGTGGCCCGGGACCACCGCCATGCGTAGAGTTGTTCTTGATGCCACAGTGTTGCAACAGCGTGGGGTTCGGCAGTTCGGCATGAGAAGACTGTTGTGCGATAGGTGGGTATGATAGTGCAACGATCCCGTGAATGAACCGGCAATGCCCGGGACTCTCAGAGCCCTTGCGAGCTCCGATTCCGGCGAGCAGGCCCCGGCTGCAAGTGAGTTGGAGGTTCGGGGCGGCCTTGCTTCCTTCGGGGCTCGTCGAATGTCTCGCTGACCCAAATAGTAGTGCAATGTAGTGCATGTGCGCAAGGGGAGTGGGTTTGGAGCCCTTGAACCTAAACGCTTCGCAAGCAAGAAAGCAAGCAGGTAAGCAGGCAAGCAAGCGAGCAAGCCAGCAAATGCTTGCCCTTCCTTTCAAATTCATACCTCACCGCACAAGACAAATTCGTGTGAGTGGTTACGTGAAGCGGCCAACTTGCTCTGACACATGAGTGAAAGGCGAGGAGGAGGGAGGATGAGGAGGAGGTGGCGGAGACGGAGGCGGAGGCGCAGGGAGGAGGAGGCAGAGCGATGGAGGAGGAGGAGGAGGGGGGGGAGAGGGAGGAGGAGGAGAGACGGAGACGACGAGGACAAAAGAAGACAGAGAGTCGTGGCCGACTGGCCAATGTCGGGGAAGAAGTCGAAAGTCCTGCGTGTCGTGTGCGACTTGAGCGGCAAACGTCTCAGGTCTCAGTCATGGGGGAGCTAGCAGCTACGGCCTCCCTTGCCGCTGCCACTTGCACCCCCACACCACCTAGCAACGAGGTGGCAAGTTATATTACGGCGCGAATGGCTTAGGCAGTGGACTTCACATTTGCAGCTGGGGGACCAAGATCTTAGACATCAGCGTGTGAGGCCTCACAACAACGAAGATCAGCGTTCTTGGCGATCAGACCGTGCGAGAGCGTCGTCTGATGATCGGTCAAGGGACGGTGGGCAATGGTGTTCAGTGCTTTGTGGATGTGGGTATGGTTGCCAGCAACATCGCCAACATGGGTATCTCCATCTTCCAGGCTTGGGAAGTTGACACTGGGAGGGCTGAAAAAGCCAAGACTCCGGCAGGCCGTGGAGTCTGGCAACTGTGGACGCCTAGCGCTCCAGTCGCCCATCAACAAGCTCACAGGTATCCCCGAGGCCCCAACGGAATGCTGGGCCAGATGGGATAAGATGGGCTCCTAGGGCCCGCCGCAGAGGGCTTGACAGGGAAAGTACAGGCAAGGCTAGAAGCCGCGGGATGATCAGCTCGAATTCGCTTTGACAGGCCTTGTGCACTGTTGACATCGGTGGTGCCGTGGCCTACATCTCTCAGGCGATGCGTTAAGACCGTTAAGATTTATCAGTGTTCTGCAACTCTTTTGGATCTGTATCATTTTTCATGCGACAACCCTTGAGCCAGGTCGTCACCTTCATCAACTTGATTGTGGTGCACTGCCAAGACTTCCTGGATGTAAGTGCTCTCTGTGGTGCAAGCATCGCGGGAATCACTACTTCAGCTGCTGCCATTGCGCCGTACGGTGCAGCAGTGCATGCAGCCTGCGCCAAGAACCTGATAGCCAGGAGTCCGGAGATTCAGGCCAAGATCAACAGCCTCTACACAGTGCCGCAGGTGCATCCTCGACGCTTGCAGGAGCTTGAGGATGCCGTCAGCAGCCTCAAGTCGATCCGACAGAAGCTTGAGCAGCACCTGGGCATAAATGCTACGGCCTCGAGCAGCGCCATCTCTAGGGCCGATTTGGCGAACATGGTGCAGCTTATCGATGGTGGGATGGACGAGGACAAGGCATCACTGCGTGGATCTTCAACCGTCGATGAATGTGAGGAGTGAGGATGCCGGAGGTTCTCTCTTGTAAAGGCACCGGGCGCTGCAAAGGCTTCGTCCGCTTTTTGCTTTTATCGGATGCGGTGCAGCTATGGCTTTCAAAGCCTACTGGTAGGTAGAGCTTCATAACAACCAATATCGTAGCTACGATGTATTAACAACATCTTGAATCGCGAGATGCTCTCCCTAAAAGCGGGATGAGCACAGCAAACGCAATTGCCCAGGCTGCTGCGCGTGAGGCTTTGGGAACCGCAAGCTTGGGCGATTCGAAACGAGGGTCCCCAGCCTGGCAGATACACAAGAGGCTTTAGGGTTTAGGGTTCAGGGTAGACTCATAGACCCAAGTCTGCGGATCACCCTTGCCTAATTAATAGGCTGATGCTTCTCTGACCACGCGGACGGAAATCCAACCATGATATCTGTGAGACCAGGCTCAAAGAATGCAACGTGTTGAGCTTGGACAAGTAAGAGAACTCGAGACAGGTCTCGGCTATAATGCTCAGGGTGTTGCGGCCACTTAGAGCTCTTCCACTGTCTCGCCAAGCCAGGTTGCTAGTTGTCTGCGAATATTAGAGGCACAAAGCGAGGGATAACCAGAAGCGACAGCGACTATTTCGGGAGGTACTGTCCTTGGTAGCAGCGATCTCCGCTTGTGTTTGGGCTTGCAGCCCACTTGTCGTACGCCGCGCTGCTGTGTGCCTCAGCCGCACACCCCAGCGAAGCTCTCTTCGGCTCTGCACTACTTGGAAAGCTTCGGGGTGTGTTATGAGGGAAAGGAGTAGAGGTGTCGTGGCATCTCGACAATGTGAGCCGAAGACAGCATGGACGGGATCAGAGACTTTGGGGTACAAAAGCAAAAGCAGAAACGACTGAAGCCCCCGGTGTCAGGCCTTGGCCTTGGCCTTCCCAGCTTGGATCCTGCGACCATGTCCACACCTCCAGAAGCTGCCTTCGAGGCGGTCTGTGTCGAGTTCCATACTTTTAGTGGCACACTTGTTGGAGTCCAAAATGGAGCTAGTAGGGTCTGTGGCTTGCTCGTCCTTGTTCACTTGTGGAGGTCGCCGCGGGGTAGCATTGGGTTGAGCTCAGCGTCCGCTTGTGATGACAGGGCCGGCAAACAAGTTTGGATCTTTATTGTCATGCTGACGGAGCAATTACTCTAGGTTCGCCTTTTCAAAGGACGAAGTGGCGTGACTTACAGCTTATGCTTCTTTACAAAGCTTCGTGCCTCGCTCCTATGTTTAACATCCATCTGCAGGGTCGCAGCATGCAATCATGTGCAATCGTATTTTCTTGGAAGCAGGCCGTCCATGCGGAGTCCGAGGAAGAGGCGAAGAACTCTTCCACCAACTCCCGCGGGTGGGTGAAGAAGGCCACTTTCAATTTTTCTTTCCGGGTTTCGAGATGAACGCTTACCCTGGACGCCGGGGGTGTTCCGGATTCTTTGCTTCGAGTCAAGATCCTTTTCCGACACGTCAGTGGGGCTGTTTCCGAACGCCTTCTGTCCGACTCGGTCGACCTGGCGCTTCCCTTGCCTTCAACCACGACCGCCTGAAACCCGCAAAAGGACGGACCTTTCATGTCAACTGGGCCTCAGGCTGCACTCGTTCTGGCAGTGGGCCTTGGTGTCGTTGGCTTCATGGCCCTGCCGAAAGCAAAGCGCCTCGCCGCAGTCCAATCCTGAATTAGCAGCACCCTGGGTCATCAGAAGTCCCAGCACTGCAAAGTGAGCCCCGAAGACTGCTAGAAGGTGCGACATCCCAATATGTCCAAACCTCCAGAAGAAAGCACAGCCACAGACTTGGGTTGAGCTCCCGAGGAGGTTCTGCAATGGATTGGATCTCGGGGCCTTCCAGGGCAAGTCCAACCTGGGCTTGGACGCACAGATGGCTCTGAAGGCTCGGTTCTTAGATATAATAGAATATACTATAATATAGTATAATACACGTTCGCTCGTTTCGCTCGTTTGGGGCACAGAGTCCGTGTTCGGGCGCAGCCTACGCATGCAAAGAAAACTAATTAGAAAGCGTGAAACAGGTGTGAAGTGCCCTTCAACAGAAGTCCAGGATGCCCACGCACCTTTGCGCGCTCAAGGAAACGCAGGCCCGGAATGGGCTGGAGGACACTGATCGGACAGTCGGGAAGGAACAAGCAGGTCGGGACGCCATGCACCCAAAGGCGGAGTGCAAACCGGACAAGGTCGCCGAACAGGGTGGCTCGTTCCAAAACTGACCATAGGTACTTTGGCCGAGTTGGAGGTGTGGGACAATCCAACCAGCACGGAAGTCCATGAAGGGAGATAGCAAAGAGCACGTCGTCAAAGGGTCCACTGAGGAAACTAGGTTCCTCACCCCGTCGAAAACACTCAATGCACTCCTCATGGGAAAAGGACAAGGAAGCCGACCCAAGGGGACCCTGAGCACAAAGCCAAGATGCTGCCCCAATCCAAAAGAGGACACCGTCGCTGCAAGATGAGGGCAAGTTTGCCGTGGACCAACTCGTAGGGATAGCTGACTGGGTCTGTTCTGCTGATCTCGCGATATGGCTGGTCCCTGAACCGGTTTCGCAGCCCAGAGGTCTCAGCACCTTTAAGGATGCCGATTTGGTCCTTTCCTTCTTTGAGGTGGACTCTATAATACACGTGTATATATATGTATATATATGTGTATATATATATATAGATAGATAGATAGATAGATAGATAGATAGATAGTATGGTGCAGAGCACAAAGCCCGACTGACTCGCCTACCGCACGTGCAGGCTGACGCACTGAAGAGCGTCAAGAAGCACTCTGCGGCACAGAAGATCGTCATGAGGGTCCTTCCGGGGGCTTGTTGCTGGAGAAGTCAGAGACATATCTACTGAAGCAGCTGGTCAGTCGGATTTGACTTCCCCGTTCTGTGAGTTGTTGCTGAAGGAAGCGCAGCTAGTGAAGCCTTCTTTGCTCACGTCGACTAGCTAGTTGTTCGCATGCAGCAGGGACACCGACTGAACCTAGTCTTGTGTCCGCACGGCACACGCAAGCCTGAATCAATCAGAACGCTGCTGACATTCTTGCCGGATCGTCACGACTGGTCGTTTGACCACAATGAATACTTTTGTTTTTGTAGAAGCTCGGTTCGGTTCGGCCTTTTGAGAGCTTAGATTCGGCTGTGGCTGGTTACGGGAGTTCGCAGATTCGGCGACGAGGAGTCAAGCCTCTTGCTTTCTGGGCTCCGTTCCTGAGCTGCAGCGCAATGGCTTTGTCCAGAGGGTGGCTTCCGGATTTCAGGGTGGTGGCTTTCGTGTTACAGGCGCCAGATTCATAGACATCGCCCAACAACGGTTCCGGTTCCGTGTTTCCTGGTTGTTGTGGTGGAAGCCAGGCCATGAAGAGCACTGGCCGCAAGTACTCCAAGCACTTCCAGCAGCGCGAGGCATCGCTGCCCATTGGTGCTCAGATGGTTCAGTCTGCTGGCACGTGAACTGCGAGCTGGGAGGTCCGCGCTCTGCCGGCGGATCC